GTTGGCACACACTGTTGCTGGTATGTTGGCCCATTCCTCCATGCAGATCTCCTCTAGAGCAGTGATGTTTTGGGGCTGTCGCTGGGCAACACGGACTTTCAACTCCCTCCAAAGGTTTTCTATGGGGTTGACATCTGGAGACTGGTTAGGCCACTCCAGGACCTTGAAATGCTTCTTACGAAGCCATTCCTTCGTTGCCCGGGCCGTGTGTTTGGGATCATTGTCATGCTGAAAGACCCAGCCACGTTTCATCTTCAATGCCCTTGCTGATGGAAGGAGGTTTGCACTCAAAATCTCACGATACATGGCCCCATTCATTCTTTCTTGTACACGGATCAGTCGTCCTGGTCCCTTTGCAGAGAAACAGCCCCAAAGCATGATGTTGCCACCTCCATGCTTCACAGTAGGTATGGTGTTCTTTGGATGCAACTCAGCATTCTCTCTCCTCCAAACACGACGAGTTGTGTTTCTACCAACAGTTCTACTTTGGTTTCATCTGACCATATGACATTCTCCCAATCCTCTTCTGCATCATCCAAATGCTCTCTAGCAAACTTCAGACGGGCCCAGACATGTACTGGCTTAAGCAGGGGGACACGTCTGGCACTGCAGGATCTGAGTCCCTGGCGGCATAATGTGTTACTGATGGTAGCCTTTGTTACGTTGGTCCCAGCTCTCTGCAGGTCATTCACTAGGTCCCCCCGTGTGGTTCTGGGATTTTTGCTCACCGTTCTTGTGATCATTTTGACCCCATGGGGTGAGATCTTGTGTGGAGCCCCAGATCGAGGGATATTATCAGTGGTCTTGTATGTCTTCCATTTTCTAATTATTGCTCCCACAGTTGATTTCTTCACACCAAGCTGCTTGCCTATTGCAGATTCAGTCTTCCCAGCCTCGTGCAGGTCTACAATTTTGTTTCTGGTGTCTTTCGACAGCTCTTTGGTCTTCACCATAGTGGAGTTTGGAGTGTGACTGTTTGAGGTTGTGGACAGGTGTCTTTTATACTGATAACAAGTTCAAACAGGTGCCATTAATACAGGTAATGAGTGGAGGACAGAGGAGCCTCTTAAAGAAGAAGTCACAGGTCTGTGAGAGCCAGAAATCTTGCTTGTTTGTTTAGGTTTAGGTTTAGGTTTAGGTTTATTTGATTTGTATACCGCCCTACTCCCGAAGGACTCAGGGCGGTGAACAGCCAACAATAAAATACATAAATACAAAAAATTTAAAAACCAGATAAAATCAAATTAAATCATTTTGGCCCAGACAGATTAAAACACCCCAATAATTTAAAAAGATTAAAATTTACATATTTAAAAAGGGAAGAAATTAGGCCAAGCCCGCCTGATGGAATAAAAAGGTCTTCACAGCACAGTGGAAGGAGCGCAGATCCGGGATCCTCCGTATCTCCGGGGGGAGCTCATTCCAGATGGTAGGTGCCCCCACAGAGAAGGCTCTCCCCCTAGGGGCCGTCAGTCGACACTGTTTGGCTGACGGCACCCGGAGGAGTCCCTCCCTATGAGAGCGTACTGGCCGGTGGGAGGCTATTGGTGGTAGTAGGCGGTCCCGTAAATAACCAGGTCCTAAGCCCTTTAGCGCTTTAAAGGTGGTAACCAAAACCTTGAAGCGCACCCGGAAGACCACCGGGAGCCAGTGCAGCTCGCGCAGGAGAGGTGTTACATGGGAGCGCCATGTCGCTCCCATTACCACCCGCGCGGCCGCACTCTGCGCCAGTTGGAGTCTCCGGGTGCTCCTCAATGGGAGCCCCATGTAGAGAGCATTACAATAGTCCAGGCGGGAGGTGACGAGGGCATGAGTGACCGTGCGTAACGAGTCCCGATCCAGAAAGGGACGCAACTGGCGAATCAGGCGAACCTGATAAAAAATCCTCCTGGTCACGGCCGTCAAGTGCTCTTCTAAAGACAGCCGTGAGTCTAGGAGGACGCCCAAGTTGCGAGCCCTCTCCGTGGGGGCCAATGATTCGCCCCCAATAGTCAGTGATGGCGTCAGCTGACTATATTGGGACGTCGGAAACCACAGCCACTCAGTCTTGGATGGGTTGAGCCTGAGCCTGTTCCTCCCCATCCAGATCCGTACGGCCTCCAGGCACCGGGACATCACTTCAAGGGCATCGTTGGGGTGATCCGGGGTGGAGATGTACAGTTGGGTGTCGTCAGCGTACTGATGGTACTCCACCCCGAAACCACGGATGATCTCGCCCAGCGGCTTCACATAAACGTTGAACAGGAGAGGCGAGAGGACCGACCCTTGCGGCACCCCACATATGAGGGGCCTCGGGGTCGACCTCTGTCCCCCTGTCAACACAGACTGCGACCGGTCAGAGAGAAAGGAGAAGAACCACCGCAACACAGTGCCTCCCACCCCTAACTCTTCCAACCGGTGCAGCATGATACCATGGTCGATGGTATCAAAAGCCGCTGAGAGATCTAACAGGACCAGGACAGAGGAGCACCCCCTGTCCCGAGCCCTCCAGAGATCATCAACCAACGCGACCAATGCCGTTTCCGTGCTGTACCCGGGCCTGAAGCCCGACTGGAACGGATCCAGATACGTCGTTTCATCCAGGTGCTGGGGGAGCTGTTGCGCAACCACACTCTCAACAACCTTCGCCACAAAACGAAGGTTGGAGACCGGACGATAATTTACCAACATTGCCGGGTCCAGGGAAGGCTTCTTGAGGAGAGGCCTCACCACCGCCTCTTTCAAGGCGGCAGGAAAGACACCCTCACCCAACGAAGCATTTATAATCCCCTGGAACCAGCCTCGTGTCACCTCCCGAGAAGCCAGCACTAACCAGGAGGGACACGGGTCCAATAAACAAGTGGTCGCGTTCAGTCTACCCAGAATCCTGTCCACGTCCTCAGGGGTCACAGGATCAAACTCATCCCAGATAACATTCTCAAGACCTGCCCCAGTCCCTCCCCCTGAGACTACCCAGTTGGAGTCCAGATCTTCCCGAATCTGAGTGATTTTGTCATACAGATATTGAACAAAATCCTCGGCTCTACCCTCCAAGGGGTCCTCCCGCGCTTCCTGGTGGAGCAGGGAGCGGGTCACCCTAAACAGGGCGGCCAGGCGATTATCTGATGACGCAATAAGAGCAGCAAAATAGCTACATTTCGCTGCTTTTATCGCCACTAGGTAATTCCTAATATGATATCTTACCAGTGTCCGGTCAGATTCAGAAAGACTGGCCCTCCAACTACTCTCTAGGCATCTTTTCCGGCGCTTCAACTCCCTCAGCTCCTCAGTGAACCAAGGAGCTAAATGAGATCGGCGCCGGGTCAGAGGCCGCAAAGGCACGACCCAATCCAGAGCTCCAGCGGCCGCCCTATCCCAGGCGGCCACTAGGTCTCCAGTCGAGGCGTGTGCCAGAGCCTCAGGGAATGGCCCAAGCTCCATCTGGAACCTATCAGGTTCCATCAGGCGCCTGGGGCGGAACCATCTTACCGGCTCCGCCTCCCTGCGGCGGGGTGTAGCGGTTCGAAGGTCGAGACGAAGGAGAGAGTGATCAGACCATGACAAGGGCTCGGTGACTATATCCCCTATCTCGAGATCACTCAACCACTGTCCAGAGACAAAAACCAGATCCAGCGTGTTTCTCCCCGTGTGGGTAGGGCCATGAATTAACTGGGTCAGGTCCATGGCTGTCATGGAAGCCATGAACTCCCGAGCCACATCAGATGCCTCACCAACGGACGGTAAGTTGAAATCCCCCATGACCATAAGCCTAGGGGTCTCAACCGCCACCGTGGCGATGATGCTGAGTAGCTCGGGCAGGGCTGCTGCCACATGGCAGGGAGCCAGGTACGTGATCAGCAAACCCATCTGAACCCCGTGACCCCATTTCACAAGGAGGGATTCACAGCCGGCCGTCTGAGGAACAGTGGCCTCCCTCGGTCTCAGACCTTCGTTAATAATAACCGCTACCCCCCCCGCCCCTACCCTGCAACCTCGGCTGATGGAATGCGCGGAAACCTGGTGGGCACATTTCAACGAGAGGGACCCCCCCTTGGCCCAACCAGGTTTCCGTAATACCTGCCAGGTCCGCTCCCCCCTCCTGAACAAGATCACAAATGAGGGGGGGCTTTATTTACTACAGACCTGGCATTGCATAACATCAGACGGAGGCCAGGGCCCTGAGGATCTGCGCCACCTGGAGAACGAGTGGAGCTTTGTAGGTGACCAAATACTTATTTTCCACCGTAATTTGCAAATAAATTCTTTCCAAATCAGACAATGTGATTGTCTGGATTTGTTTTCTCATTTTGTCTCTCATAGTTGAGGTCTACCTATGATGTCAATTACAGGCCTCTCTCATCTTTTTAAGTGGGAGAACTTGCACAATTGGTGGCTGACTAAATACTTTTTTGCCCCACTGTTTATCAGTAGATCTGTATAAATATTTTATAATTTATTTTCAGATAGTTAACTTTCTTTAGCCTTGTTCTTAGCCAACTCCAAGTGGCTAGATTGCTAGAAATACTGAAGCACATATTTCTTTCTTTAGTAGGAATTAACTTTGCTTCTGCCTACTTATCCTAGAAACCAAGTTGGCTCCTTATGAAATCCTTCAATCCAACTTCTGCCAAACATTTAAAAATGACATTGAAATTTACCATATATTGTTTGATGTCTCTGGAAAATGAGAGTAAAATAATTATTGAGATAAGACCTTTCTACTAAATTGGGAGGGAAGAGTATTAAAGGAGGATATGGGAAAATTATATGAGGACAAACGCTAGTAATACCATATAATGTAAATTGGGAAAAGAATAGCTGAAAACAGTCTGGTAAAGCTGCAATTGTATCAGTTTGAACTTCATATCAAGAGAAAATGTCACTTGCCAGTTTGGAAACAAAGAAAGCAAGATCTAGTTGATATAACATTTTTAAATATTTTGAGATTAATTTCAGTGGAGATTTAATTTTCTTTTATAAATTTTGCTGTATCATCTTATTCCATATTTCTGGTTTTCCAGGCATTAGATGGTCAGAATATTTATAATGCTTGCTGTACCTTACGGATTGATTTTTCCAAATTGGTCAACTTGAATGTAAAGTATAATAATGATAAAAGTAGAGATTACACTCGTCCTGACCTTCCATCTGGTGATGGTCAACCAGCTTTGGATCCAGCTATTGCTGCAGCATTTGCAAAGGAGACTTCACTTCTAGGTATGACTTTGTTTATTCCTCTTTCTTAGTTGTTTGTAAAATAAATGTCATTTGTGGTTTATGTTCACACACATACACACAAACACATGAATGAGCTTATTGAATTAATTGGTTCCTAAGAATAACATTATTTGATTACTGTTCTCACCGCTTTTTCTTTTCTTTCTTAAGCAATTACTTAATTTATATCATTTCAAGTCTTTTCAATCTGAGTACCTGCTTCTGATATTCAGGTAATAAGTTTCCCATTTTGGAAGGTACTTTTATTAACATTGCATTAATTTAATACATCATCCAGAATCTGTTGAAATGAATGTTAATACATATCCTATTCTACATGGTCCCTTGTACTTTCATTGGCCAATTTATTATCTATGTATGATAAAAAAAAGAATCGGCCATGAAAATTGGCCAGTTTTATTATCTATGTATGATTTAAAAATATAGGATAAAAATAAGCACTCAACTTTTGAATTAAATTATCTAATTCACTCAAAATCAAAACAAGAGTAATACTAAAGATGCCTTTTCTTAGAAAAGAAAGTATTCTAGATTTCTTTCTTCCCTAATTCTTGATAGATTAATGAAACGGGCTGAAAATGAAATTTGGAAAGCATTAATATTCTGCAGTGTTTCCGTTTTTAAAAAATGCACATATTAGGATTATAAAGTCTAAGCCAGCAATATCTCATGGTCAATCATGATATAGTTCCTAAATCATGAGACATAGGTTCAGGAATCATAAATTCCTAAATCATAGGAATGCTCCATTCTGCATTTGTCATGTTCCACCCCAAAAATGATAGATCATGCTTTAGAAAATACAGTATTCAGACAAATTGGATGCATCTAGAGAAGGGCAGCAAGCATGTGTGAACAGGGAATCAGAAACTACATTTTGTAAGAAACGATGAAGGGAACTGAAAATGTTCAGCTTTAAGAAAAGAATACTAAGGTGGAATATAATAGCACTCATTAAGAATTTGAAGGGATGTCACATAGAAGACAACTACCGCCTGTTGTCTGTCATCCCACAGTACAGTACATAGCAAAGCAGAACCTAATTGCATGTTAAGAAAAATTTCCTGAGAGTAAGAGTAATTTGACAAAGAGTCAGTTATTTAGAGAGATAATGGGCTGTCTTTTTGTGGTTGTGTTCAAGTGGTAGCATAGCCATATATTCAAAACTTATTTTATTCATTTTAATTCCTGCACTAAATGAAAGGTTTAATTCAATAGTCTAAATTGTCATTTTCAATTCAGAATCTCTGATCTATATAATAAAATCATACTCTCGCAGTGATATAATCCAGAAATGATACAGATGAAGCTGTATTGTTGATGTAGGGCATATAAACTGAGATAGTACAAATGCTGAATGAGGAACTGCATATATCAATAAATAATATTAGCAATTTTATGGTAACTTGTATCAAAAGATTTTATATTAGGGATCAAAATGGTCTTACAGACTTGCAACTATTTTAGAGCATGTAAGTGAAGATAAAAGTTCAAGTTCACTCTGACTCTTTATCAAATTAGCAAGCTAATTTTAGGCTCTCCAGCTAAATATTGGCGTAACAAATCTAATAGAATAGATTGTTTTCAGTTGATGTGATACAGGGCAAATTCATTGGTCACAAAAATAAAGAAAAAAATCTTAGTGCTGTCTTTCCCTTTCCCTTTCCCTTTCCCTTTTCCTTTCTGTCCTTTGAAACTGCTGTTCCTGGCATTGATGACATAACCATTTGAAAAAACAGCTTTCATTCTAAAGATGTATATATCATTTACTGATATGAACCGGGCCTTATATAATTGAACAGATTATTCCAGCAGAAATCGTTTTCAGTCAAACAGTCTGAAGAAATGTGAAAGATTTATGTAGGACACCTAAGCACCTTTAAGTATAAGCTTCTTATCTAGCTTATAATTAAAACTATTAAATAAAAAGAATAAAAAATAACACTAGATAGTTATATCAACTATTAAACATGCTGAAATGGCTGGTGTGATTTTCTCCTACAATTTTAACATAATTTCTCAGGTAAGTTTCTGTGGAGATGGGACTCCAGATGTAAGATGTCACAATGAGAAAGCTTTCTGTTTGATCATCAACCACAGAGCATTGTAGTAAAAAGTGATAACATTTGTACAGAACTGTGTGTCATTTGACAAAACCTTCAGGTAGCTAAGCAAATCCTTTAGGTACCATGTTATGAATAACAGCGCCTCAAAATGAATTAGCAATCAGACAGTTCTAGTCTTGCATTGTTGACTAGACTGCTTTTTGTATTATTGTTTTCCAAAAAGATTTTAAAATTTTGTGTTCCTGCAAGAGATGAGAGCTATTACTTGTTTCCCTCTTCCTTTTACTTCTCTGTCAGTTGTATATATGGTTGGGATAGGAGAATCTCATTGCTTACAATCATTCAAATTTGGTCAGTATCTTCACTGGAGCAATAAATTGTATTGTCAAAAGGCAATTAAATATACTTTTTGCTTTGTGCTGATAAATATTGCTTCAAGGGAAAACACAGTAAACTGTGAGTATGGCTATAGGTTATTCTGCATGAAATCTAATTATATTTATTGCATTTATTGTCGAAACCTGTTTACTATAAAAGCAAAAATGGTCTTTTGATGAGTATGTTAGTATACATGAGCCCTGTACATTGATCTTTCCAACCACCTGAGATTTAGCATTAATGATACTGAAGTAAATAAAGAAATGGTTAGGGGCTGTGTTATCCATATCTGCTGGTTTCTAATATAAAGTTTGGGGCCAAAACAAGAGCATCACTGTCCTTGCAGAACTTAATTTTTTGAGATTTATAATGCATGTAAGGTATATGTAGCTCATACAATTTCTGATTTTCAGTTTAAAACTGTAAATGTTACTCCATGGTCTTTGTTCATATATATTTCTATGGTCTGTTCTTTCATTTATTGTAAATTGGATACAATTTCAATCTGCTTTTTTATGTTTTTGTAAAGGAAAAAATCTCTTCAACAAATAGAAAAGCTTGCTTTCTGGTTTTGTTAGGAAGAGTTCTAGATTCTTTTATTGACACACATTTTGTATTTTATGGAAGAAAATCACATGGAGGAAAACTGTGACACTGTATTAGTTCTCTGCTTGAACTTAAGAACAATAGCATTTTGATAGTGCCATAATTTAGTCTTGAGGGGGAAGAGTGTTTAAGAGTTTGCCCATTCAGAACTAAAAGTAAATTTAAATCTTTGCAAGGTGCATTTGGATACTTTTATCACTAGAAATCCCATTTATATTTTACATGAATACGTTTCTTCTCGTCAAACTGCTGTGAGAGTCCATATAGTGCAGGTAATGTTTAGTCGAGAGAAAGAATACTATTGAAGCTGCCTGAGTAAGTGATTTGGAAATTATACAAGTAGGACAAGAATATCTTTTCCATTAGGACTATAGAATTAGAGGATAAATAAGCATTTGATCTATTAGTGTAGACAAATAAATTATGCCATTTTTCTGATGAGTTGAGATTCTTCTGTGTAATTAGGCAAAAGAAATTCACATGCTTAGTAATAAAAAATTAGAGAGATAGTAAAAGTCATTTAACAATTGACATTTATTTCCACGGGAGGATAGAACTGTACCATTAGGGGTTGAATTACAAAAGTAACTAAAGATTACAGTCTTGAACAAGTAACAAAAAACTCATTAATTATCACTTAACCAGCTATTTTAATAATGCCTCCTTCCCAATGCATTCAACATAGACTGTATGCAATTGTTGCCACAATTTTTCATGACACTTTATGACCTGTTAGGTTTTTAATTTGTTAATCTGTTTTCTTCAGTGACTTTTATTATCTAAGTCTCTGTGGAAATCTGCCCCGAGATCCTATTTAGAAATAGAAGGGCATTCTGATAAAGTTTAACCCTTCCATCTAATTTTGGAGATGGGATTGTTTTATGTTAATCTGGTAAATTGCTATGTGGACTTGAGCTGGAAAAGTTCTGTTGCAGGGCCAGAGCTTTTGTTGATGTTGGTTTAGGTTTAGGTGAGGATAGATAACAAAAACCACCCCCAGAAACAGCGATAACTTGAGGTCAGCATGTTCTCACTTCATAAATACTGTCTATATGTAATTGACCCAATACAATGTGCAGAAAGCAGAGAGCCTGCCCATAAATTGGGGCAGGGACAGAAACTTATTTCATCACTTAATATGGTTTGAACTACAGGCAGTCCTCGACTTATGACCATAATTGAGCCCAACATTTCTGTTGCTAAGTGAAATAGTTTTTAAGTGAATTTTGTCTCATTTTATTACTTTTCTTGCCACAGTTGTTAAGTGAACCACTGCAGTTGTTAAGTTAGCCATATGGTTGTTAAGTGAATCTGGCTTCCCCATTGACTTTGCTTGTCAGAAGATCGCAAAACATGGTCACATGACCCTGGAACACTGCAACTGTCATAAATATGAGTCAGTTGCCAAGCATCTGAATTTTGATCACATGGCCATGGAAATGTTGCAACAGTCATAAGTGTTAAAAACAGTCATAAGTCACTTTTTAAAGTGCCATTGTAATTTCAAATGGTCACTAAATGAACTGTTGTAAATCGAGAACTAACTATAGTGTCTATGAAACTACAAACTGAATCTCAAGTTTGCAGCACAGAAAGTTAAGAGTCTCATATAATCTCTAGGAGTCACATACCTACTGAGTGTATTTACTAAAAAGGAAATTTGGTATTTTTGCCCTGTGGAAATCCCAGTCAATTTAATATTACATTAAACTGATGAAGAAGAATCTTTGCTTTACACATGAAATCATTCAGCTTTTAAGATTAGTGTCTACTAGTGTACCCAAAAGCAAAAAAGGAACAGAGATATTTCTAATTTCTTAATGAATTCTTAACATAATATCTTGAGCAAGAAAACATTGCTTCCTCATTTTTCCAGAATATACAAAATAATGATCTCCTAAGTATAGCCATGTTTCAATAATAGGTAAA